GCTATATATTCAGCTACTAGATAGTCAAGTCTAATGATGTTGGTGGTTGAAAAGCTTCAAAATATTATTAGAAGCGGCAAAAATTCGTCGCTCGGTGGTATTCGTCGCTCGGTGGTTGATTACGTTAGTCAGTGCAATTTTAGTCAACGACTGGAACCCAAAGTTGGGAGCCCACATAATAGAAGAGCCATCTTTGAATTACAAAGTACCTAAGGCTCATGTAAGTTACCACTTGAAAAGTCTGAAAGGGATATGTCAGATTCTCAGTAATCTAGTTATATGATTACATTGGAATCAGAGCAAGTTATGGTTAATAATGGATGATATTCTTCATATGTCTGACCTTTTCCGGTTAGAATAGTCTAACTAAAAAAGGTAATCTAGTACCAAAGATCTGGGCTACAAATTCCGTGCTGCTGATCTAACCCAGAGAGAACATATAATGGGTCTCGTTGTTGCAATACCATTGACAGCTTTAGCTAGGTAGATATTGTGGTGAACAACGCTGCTACCTTCTGCCTCAGCAAAGCAAGCCTACTGTTAAGGCTACAGACAAAAGTCATTAACCTATATCTAATTAATTAACTCATTAGAGTCAAGATATCTACACCCGTAACATTTCATATGCACTACCGAGTCAGCCCTATGTGGCTGTTCCACCTGACTAAGAGACTCAGCCTTGTCTGCGCCACATTCCTGCCTTGGTGCCATGGTTCTAAGGCGAATTCTAAAGCACTGCCAACATATGACGAGATGTACTACGACGCCGAAATCTTATTTCATCATTATAAGTCGACCATCGTCCCTCATATCTATCGAGCTTTTTAGTTTCTTTCTTTCCTTTCGTCAAATTATTTTCTTAGCGTACAGTCACAGACATAATCAATCGGAAATCCAACTATGTCATACAATCAATATCCCCCACCAAATCGTATGTATGCCCCGCATTCTACAACAATTCTGCTGCCTATACAATAATAGCTGGATAGACTGACTGACTTCTCTGCAGAACCTCCATACCCTCCGTACGGAGCTCCTCAAGGCTTCTCACAACCGCCCTATCCCCAACAACCGGGCTACGGCGGTCCGCCCCCTCCCCAGGGCCACTATAATCGACCACCTCCGCCTGCACCGGCGCCAGGCGGATATCCTCCGGCTCCCGGACCAGGATATACCCATTCGCCATCGCCTCAGCCTCCATATGGCGCTCCTTCGCAATCCCCGTACCCTCCACAAGGCGGTCCTGGATACCCTGCGCCTGCAGGCGGGTATCCCCACCCCGGACCCTATGGCGCTCCGCAGTTAGGAGGGGGCAGCTATCCAGCACCACCGCAACAGTTCCAAGGCCCTCCTGCCATGCCTTCGCTGGGCTACGTCCCTGGTCAAATGGCACCCGGCGACTTCCGCCGTGAAGCCGACCTCCTACGTAAAGCGATGAAAGGGTTCGGAACCGACGAGAAGACGCTCATCCAAGTCTTGTCCAAACTCGACCCCCTGCAAATGGCTGCCGTCCGGTCCACCTACAGCAACTATCTCCGCCGCGACCTATACAAGGACGTCAAGTCCGAAACCAGCAGCTACTTCCGCCAAGGTCTGCTCGCCATCATTGACGGACCGCTTCTGCACGACGTGAACTCCGCCCGGGAAGCAGTCCAAGGCCTCGGAACGAAGGAATGGCTCCTGGACGACGTCCTCCTGGGCCGCTCAAACGCCGATCTCAACGCCATCAAATCCACCTACGAGCACACCTTCCACCGCTCCCTCCAGAAGGACGTCGAGGGCGACCTCTCCTTCAAAACACTCAACCTCTTCTCCCTCGTCCTCCGCGCAGACCGCCACGAAGAATCCCACCCGATCAACCCCCAGCTCATCGAGCAGGAGGCCCGCGCCATCCACGCCGCAACCAGCGGCCGCGTCGTCAACAACGTCGACGAAGTCTGCGGCATCTTCGCCCGCGCGTCAGACACCGAACTCCGCGCCATCAGCCAGGCCTTCAGCCACCGGTATAATCTGTCACTAGAGAAACACATCGAGAAGGAATTCTCCGGCCACATGAAAGATGCGCTGCTGCATATGCTCCGCACCGCGCTGGACCCTGCCATGCGGGACGCGGAGCTGCTCGAGGACTGCATGAAGGGGATGGGCACCAAGGACGAGAAGCTGGTTGTGCGAGTCGTGCGCTTACATTGGAACAGACCGCATCTGGACCAAGTCAAGCGCGCCTACCACCATCGGTTCAAGACAGATCTGATCGCCAGAGTCCGGGGAGAAACTAGCGGGGATTACCAGAGATTAATGGTTGCTTTGCTCGAGTGATTTTCCTTCCTTTCTTTCCCTCTGTTCTATTAATGTTCTATTACTGGGTGGCTTTTTTTTGCTTTCGTTGCCATGCTGGCCTGCTGCTTTGCTGTGATACCACGATGATATGTCTTATGGCTTTGATGTCTCTTGGCGGTTCCAGGCCCGCCACGGCTGAGATATGATATGATTGAGCGACCTGGTCGCTGCTCAATGTTACACGGAGATCGAACTAGTTCTAGCTAGGCAGAGATACCTGAAACGCTACTCGATGAAATGCAAAAGCTGCATGAATTCCATGTTTTCGTCCGATTATTTCATATGGCACATCAATCATAAGTCATTTCCCATGCGATACACGAATAAGTAGATCATACACGCCATATGACAAACATACAAACTAAACGATCTCCCCAACAACAGTAACATGCGATCCGGGAAATAGCCCCGTCTGACCAGCATAGCAACCCCAAAACCAATCGTCGTTGATATTCTCAACCTCTGTTATCTCCGCCCCGCGCGGAAACATCAGTTCATCCTGGACCTCGTCCTCGGGGTACCACGACCAGAGCGCATGGACGATGAGGCCGATTCCACCGTCGGGCGGGAACCGGCGCAAGAACGGTGGTGAGTGGGAACTGGTGGGCGTGGCTGTTTCGGAGTTGGAGCCCGAGCCGGAGCCACCAGTGGCACTGATTGGAAATGAGTTGCTGCGGTCATTGTTGGTGGTTGTCCAGGAAGTTCGCACGCGGGAGGCTTTCTTTCTTCGCTCAGACCCTTCCTTCCAGCTCCAGTCGCCGGATCCGAGTTCGGGGGATGGGACGGCGCCTGAGCTGTTCGGCGCGGGTGAGTAAGTCGAATGTGTTGTGGAGGAGGGCAAGGTGGAAGGATGCTGGACGTGTTCGTCTTTTAGGGCGCGGCCGCCGACGAGGTCGCGCACGACGACCCTCCTCTGGCCTTCGTCGTGGTCTTCGAAGCCGACAACAACCATACGGTGGCCTTTGACACAACGGCGCCAGCCATTGTGACCGTTTTCTTTGCTGATCTTGCCTGTGGCAACGAGTTTGAGGTAGCAGTTTGCGCAGACGTCGTAGTCGCCTTCATTGCATTCGAGACAATGGAATCTCGTGGCTGATGCTGGGATGGGGTATGTGCAGATGTCACACTTGGTTGAGAACGAGAGGATCCTGTATATTTCGTTACCGTTATCGGCGGAAGTAGAAGGACTCGATGGATTGTTAGGTCCATTAGTCGAGTCACTGCCGGTCGACACTGGTACGCCCGAGCGATGCCCAGGCGCAAGTCGACAGATAGGTAGAAGCGCATGCGTGCAGCATCGTCCTTGGTTGACACATTTATTGCAGAAGCCCCAGCCCCCCTCGTTGCATTGGTTGCATTTCCAGTAGCATTTGTTTGCCAAAGCGTGGCAGATGTCACAGAAGAGTCCCGTTTGCAACCTTTGGGCTGGATCGTCGCTAGTCATCTCTATACCCTCGCTTGTCGTGCGATGAACATTCTCAGAGGGTCGTGAATATCTGGAAAATTGCAAGACATGCGCTATCTCGCGCGATGGCCTAGTCCGACCGGTCGAAGAGGCAAGCATTCGGTCGAAGTTAGCTTCTGCAGACGGACCAAAACCCGCCCATTGCAGACAGCCGCGGCCGAGGCGATAACACCGCAAGCACAGGTGGAACCTTCCATCTTTACATCGTAGACATTTCTTGTGAAGGTCATATTGGATATTCTGCTTGCCACATCGGTCGCAGGAGATGGAAGGTTCGATGAAAGTCGCTGAAGGACGTTGGGAGGCGTGAGAACGAGAAGAGGAAGGTCGAGAGCGTTGGTTGACAGGGCTGTTCACAGCGGGTGCTAGAGAGCTACAAGCAGACGCACCTGTCGTAGTCTGTTCCAAGCGCGCAGAAAAAGAGTTACTCGGTGTACTCGGTGAAGCCACCGACGCAGGTGAGGTATTCGATGTTCTGCCTGATATCTGCTGGCGGTGATCGCGGTTCCTGGCTTCGGGTGTGAATATGTTCGGGACATTCTGCTCCGACGCTGTTGCCCGTCGCGGCCTCGGAGCAGCCGCCAATTCGGCCGCGCGAGCTCGGGAGGACTGAGAAGGACGAGGACGATCCGAAGCTATATCACTGGACGACCTCGCAGCAGGCCGCAACGTGACTTCCGACGTGGACGCCACATTGACAGGAACCGGCGACGTTCTCCGGCGACGAGCCCCCTGATCCGAAAGACGCCGCTGATGATTAGAAGCATCCGAGCGCGAGACAAGCGGCTCCAGCAGATACGGCCTTGACACGGGTGGATTCCTCGAGGATGCCTGTGGAGCGGACACCGTCGGTGGTCTCTGCATGGATTGCGACCTCGCACGCGGTCGCGGCGGCGTCTGCGATGCATCGGCCTCTTGCCTCTGCCGCGAGCGCGGTCGTCGCATATGTCTCCGACGATAAGCATCGGCGATGCGCTCAGTCAACTCCTCTTCCTGCGCAGGCCCAAGGTTGTCCAGGTCGATATCATTCAGCAGCCCGTCATCGAGGATCTGTCGCAGGATCTCCTCTTCCATTGTTTCGGTATCGGACAAGCTAAGCAGCGATCGCAGACTGGACTGATGCTCAATCCGTCTCGTTCTCTCCGAGTGATCCTCTGTACGGGCCGCAGGCTGTCGGCGTAGTGCACGCTCCTCCTCACGCCGTCGTCTCGAGCGGCCATCTGCCCTCCGTCCATCGGCATCAACGCTCTCAGCTCGTCTACTCCTCGAAGATTGTCCTGCTCGGTGATTCGATTCCCCGGTCCCCGTCCTGCTCTCTCGCAAACTCAATTCACGAACCTCCTCCAGCAACTGCCGATCTTCCTCGTCCGACACGGTACCATTTTGCTCTGGAGACAAAAGCGCAGGAAACACCGAATCGCCATGCTTGTATTTCTGAGCAATTTCCTCCTTTTCCTCGGCCGACTTGACACGCTCAGGATTGGCTGCCAGGACCATGTCCAACAGCGTAGTAACGGTGGCATTGGGACGTGTTTCGCGCACTACGGCCCGACATGATGGGCAGGTGAATTGCGGGGTCGATGAAGACGACCGGCGTCGGGATGCTTGAGCAGCAAACCATTCTTTCAAGCAGGAACCGCAGAACGTGTGTAGGCAGTCAAGGAGGGTGAGAGGTTGGTAGAGCAGTTCTGTACAGATCTATGGTGATTGTTCCGGGATCAGTCAGTGAGAGGTCACATAAGGAATTTGTGAGATTGTCGATATTGATATGTCAAATACTATCTGATTGTCCGCCGCCAACACGAGGCCCACGATCGAAGGAAGGGGGTTGACGTTGTGGTCCTTGTGGATATCCCAGCCGTCGATAAGATCCGAGCAAATGACGCAGAAGCAGCATGATTATGCAAAGTACATACCGAGCAAGTCAGTTCTTTCTCGAGGTCCAACAATCCAGGACCCCCCCGAGACTCGTTTGACATGAGAGATGAGGAAGGAGAGCACCCCAGATCAGTTCTGTAATATAGGGACAGACCGGTAGCGGATCGATAGAATGATGAGGGGAAAGTAAACAGTCAGGCTGGATGCGATGGTGCGTCCCGTGGATCTCGGCGAGTGAAGGCCCCACTGAGTCGGAGAGATCTTGGATAGTACGCTATTCTTAGAACTCATAGGAAGGATAATCTATCGCGAATTACGATCATTCAAGAATCCATATCGTTGGTTTTCAGAAGTCAATGAACTTGTATGTATGCTAAGTTGAAATTATTTATGCCATGGACTCAGATCATGCTACGCTCATCATCCATGAACAAACACCAGACTCCCACTCTCATACACCGCAAACTTGTAAGAAAATTGACAAACAAGACAACAAGCTCACTCTTGTCCACGCTTTTCTTTCTCCCAGAACCAATGGTACAGACTCTTCCATTCTGCCGTCTCATCTTCCACGTAATCTCTCACCAACTCTGCGGTCTCGTTGGTATCGGACCACGGCCCATCCGGGCCAACACGGTATCCGGTTGAGGCATCCACACCGGAAGGTCCAGCATTCGAGGTCATATCCACAGCGACATGCCCCGTATGATGGTCCAGCATCTCCTCGGCACCCTCCTTAGCTTTCTCTGCCAGATCCCGCGCACCCTCTCGGGCGGCTTCAGCGAATTCCTCGGCCTGTTCGCGCGCGCGTTGGATCAGTTCTTCGGGCGTAGGATATCTCCTCAGGATGATAAGAAGAAGATAGTAGCTCTGCACGATGAGCGAATAGACTGCGTCCTTTGCTAGCATGGTGAAGCCATGCGAGAAGAAACCCTTGAGAACTTCCCCGGGGAGGCCCGCATACAGCGCGGAAACACCCTCGTTGCGTGCAATGGCCAGCACATTCGAAATGATCTGAGGTGTGAACGGAATCCCGTCATCGGAGACATTCTTACGGCTCGGCTTCTCACTACTTCCCGCGCTATCGACCTGCGCTCTCGTCTTGGCCATAGAAAACGGGTACGTGATCGACGATGCAGCGGACTTGCTGATGGCAGCTAAAAGGAACGTCGTCGCCGGCGACGGTCTTCCCCGCTTACTCCGCGACAAAAGTGCATACTTCAAGAACTCGTTCAGGAAGAAAGTGATGGACGGATTCAGCGTGAGAATGAGCGACGCCGAATACCCGGCCCAGAACCCCCTCAGCCCCTTCTCAGACTTGATCCGGGCAGCTATATCCCTCGTCGAAAGTGCTTTGTTGCCCGATGCCGCCTGCTTCCTCGCCACGATATTAGCAAGCGGTGTGGTAAAGAGCTTCGCAAACGCGCCGGCCAGCACACCGATCGCCAACTCATCCAGAATCGGAAGAACGACATGCGTCGACCGTCGCCCATCGCCATACCGAGCCCTGATCCTCCGCTGCCTGAAAAAGCCATACGCAAGGAAGAAGAGAAACGAGTCCGCAACTGTCTTGGCCGTGTCCTGCGCAAGACCCGTGTAGAAACTCCCCAGGCCCTCTTTGGCGTAGATCTTGCGTGCTGCATCGAGCACATCGGCGTACTCCTCTTCCTCTTCCCCATCCCCGTCCTCGGAATCCGTCTTCTTTTCCTTCTTCGTCCTGCGTTGCGCCTGCGTCTGCAGTCGTGTCACAATCAGACTGAGCGGGTACGTGACAACGTTGGATATGGCCGCTCCCACGGCCCCCGCGACCGCATTCCCCACGGCAGGCAACGCGGGACCACGCAGCGCAGCTCTCTTCCAGTCGCTCTCTGGCGGCGGATTCTCATATCTATGGTACAGTTGATACGAGTCCTATTCCCGATTCCCCCCGTGTCAGTAACATTCTCAGGTTCTCCAAAGAGCTGAGTCTCGGGACCCATAGGTCAACAACAACAACAATAACAGACGTACCAGTTCAGACTCGTATGCGACCTTATACTCTGACATTTTCCTTCGGGCGACCAAGAAACACAGAAGCTATTAATCAAGGATGAATGAACACAATCGAGTCAATTGCTAGCTCGTCAGAAGGGTAGACCACATGCAATAGCACTTTGGCCCGCTGGATGTGTATTATGTAGGGCAGGCCCGATTGACAACGTCAGATCCTCCAGTGTCCATCAACAGAAGCAGAAGATGGAGCTCTCCGATTTTTGACGGCCACACGAAGCCGGCGCCGTCATATCCTGATTGCTCTTGCGAAAGACCGAGGTCCAGCAGCCATACGGAGGAACGCAGGGTGGATAACGTCATGCGCACGTGTTGGTCCGTGCACAACATAGCGGTCGCAGAGAGCAACATGTGATCCGTCTAAAATACGGTCGATGGCATGATAAATCTACGACTTACAGTCAGGACAATTCATCCTCAGTAAATTCAATTGTATTCACTAGCTCCAGAGAGCGAGGAATCCACTATTCACTGCAGCTAAAAAAAAAGACCCAAACCAGCCAGTCCTCCAAGCCCATATGATAAAACCAGCAGAAGATTGTCAAGATCAAAGTAGCCCATTCCAAACCCCATTGAAAACCCATAGATAAACCTCAGAAGGATCCAAGAAAACATCGCAACGTAAACGCATTAGAAGAGACAGATACAAGTCCCCGGATTTCCCAGCATCCACCGTCACCGCGCAGTCAACCGGACACAGCAAACGGTCCGATAGCCGGGACTCAAGACTCGATGACGATGGCGAAGAGCAAAGGTAAACGTTTAGCCACCGAAACCGTAGAGGGTACGGCCCTGGCGCTTGAGGGCATAGACGACATCGAGCGAGGTGACGGTCTTGCGCTTGGCGTGTTCGGTGTAGGTGACGGCATCACGGATGACCGACTCGAGGAAGGACTTGAGGACACCACGGGTCTCCTCGTAGATCATGGCGGAGATACGCTTGACACCACCACGACGGGCGAGACGGCGGATAGCGGGCTTGGTAATACCCTGGATGTTGTCACGCAAGATCTTGCGGTGACGCTTGGCGCCACCCTTGCCGAGACCCTTGCCTCCTTTGCCGCCTGTAGGACATGATTGTTAGTCACTGTTGACTTGATAAGATATAGATATAGCGTAATGACTGTCAATGACGAGGCGAGATGGGGGTAGGGTAGGACTGCACAGATGACGCGTTGGCCTGAGGCAGTAACGTGGTGTCACGTGCATCCAGCCGCGTTATCATCATTATCATTGCCCATCTCAACCTGAAGCCATCGACGATGACCAAGGATGGTAAGAGACAAGAAAAAAAAAGGATATCAAGTATAATACTTACGTCCAGTCATATTGTAAAATAAATATTCAAAGATAAGATGATAAGAAAATAGATGAAAAGTTGATGGTGAAAACGTCCCGCGGGGTTGATGAGAGATGTGGCGCGTCACTGGCTGCAATGAGTAGTAGTAAAAAGGGAAGAAAAAGAGAACAAGTGAAGAAGCAGAGGCGAAGGAGGCGTATGCTTAAATAGGTCTCTGGGGCGGTCAGCAAGCAACAGCGTGATTTTCGGGCGCTCGCAGCGGTTTCAGTGAATGACTAAGCCCAGGGGTTGATCTGGAAGGGTCAAAAAGCAATGAGACAAGATGATTGGCGGGTGGCGGATGGGAAAAAGGGCGTTATGAACGGCTGCTTTCAAGCCCGTGTTTCTGCCGTTGATTTTGGCGCATTTTTACCCGCCGTGAACTAGCAATGTGGGCACTAGGCGGGTAAGGTCACGTGAAGGCTTGGCGGCATACCTTATCACCAACGTCAAGTTTCTAAAAAGGTATCCACAAGGGAAGTTGTCCTTACGCTGGAGAAAAGTATGGATATGCGTAGTCAACGCTCATTATGGATTCGGCCTGTAGCCTGCGTCAAGTCATCGCTTGCGATTACTTCCTTATAGTTCAATCGAGAGTCGGACCCAGGAATCACTCAAGGATCGAGGCTGTCTTGGTGTCTACCTTACGACACCCCACCACACCTTCCAAAACTGCAACCACTCCTAAATATGTCGGCGATCCTTCTCTCATACCTGTCACTCAACCAACCCGGGTCGAAGAGATGTATTGAACTTAAAACTACCAGAATAAATGTCAGACTGTAATCTTGAAGAGAGTTAAAGCCCTCGAGAGCAGGACGTCTTCAGCGAAGCCACGTAATGATAGAACAGGCCATCAACAGCTAGACACGCTCGGTTTTGCATCGACTACAAGGCTACACCACACGGCTAAGAGCGCATTGAATCAGAAGTATAACCATGTGCTGAGTTCATTGAGAATTGTCCTTCCCTCCACATATCATACCAGAACTACCCACAAGTGTCAGACGATACAAGAAAGGCATCGTTACCCGCCCAGAGAACCGTAAAGACGGCAAAATGCAGCACAAGACCCAAAACTCCATGCAGAAACTCAACTCAAGTTGAGCAAATGTTAAAGAACAACAGCGTAAACTGTGTGGAAACTTTTCCTGATTGCAAATGCTTCATCTCATAGAATGCTGTCAAGCAGACTACCAGACTACTATGCAGGAACAAACGCAGAGAAGAAAATTCGTATCATCGTACTCATGAAACAAATAAAGACTGATATCTGAAAACCACACTGAGCACAGTCATGCATGAACACAACTTGGTTTCCACCATAAATCATTGCTTCGTGGAAAAGGAAAATCAGCAAGTACAAGGCACCTCCCCGCGGTTTATGGTACATCGCAAAAGGGCATGCCTCGATACTTGAGATGAGCACCAGGGAAAAGGAGAAAAAAAGGGACATTAAAACCAGGTCAACAAGCCATGGCGGGAATACGCAATGACGACAATAGATCCCCTGCTAATTCAGCAAACGGCTGATTGGGTAGAATTATGATGGTTTGAGGGATGGTCGAGGAATACATCCCTCGAGTAAATCGACTCATGAATGGATAGTAGAGTACTGTGTGACCTTCAACTTTAGTGTGAGAGGTACACTGACGGTGAAGTTGGACCCAATTCCTTTATCGGTAGTCATGAAAGAGCAAACTCACCCTCTGATGACTGCCGGGGTCTGAGTCTCTTTCAAGAAGTCGCTCTGGATGTGAGGGTGATGAGCGTAGTCGAAACGGGTTGGCGATGACGAAGCTGCACGAGGGCTTGAGCCGACAGGGCTAGCAGACGACGAGCGGCTGTTCCCATAGTCGATGCCCAAGATCTCAGTCGCACGCGGTGAGAGGGGAGGTGACAATGATTGCGAGGGGGAGGTGCTGGATGCGCTGGATGTGCCCAAAGAATCGGGATGCGAACTCTCTTTAAGCGAGCTGCTAGTACCATTGGAGCCCTTCGAGGAGCCATAGAAGCAGAACTTGTCGACGAGTTCTTTGTATACGGATGAATCATGGTGGGGTTTGCTGGACAAGAGGGACGAGGGTTTGACGTGTTCCGAGTGTGCAACTTGCGGGCTGATCTCGCTAACTGGAGACGCCTTGTTGACGTGTAGACCTTCCGTCAGGACAGGGTCGCGGTTCACAGGGCCAGACTTGGTAGTGTCAGACTTTGCTCGAGCGGTCAGGGTCGTGCGATCATGGGTGGGCTTGGTCCGCATGACGGCGGACAAAGAGGCCCCAAAATCATAGCGATTGCCGAATGCTTGTCGTGCTTGCTTCTCGCGGGCAGCAGACATATTGTGAACCTCCTTCAGCAGATTCTCGGATGAAGATTCCTCTTTCAATGTCTTCTTGGGACGACCAAAGGACAAATAATCGTTTATATGATCATCAAAGTCATCGAGCGAGGAAGGCATCGGAGAAGGACGGCTGTTGACGCCGGCAAAGCTCTTGCTGCGAGGAAGGGCTGGGCGCGAGCTTGCGGTGGACGGGCCCCGCGGCTCTGCTCGTGGCCGGGGGATCCGAACGAAGTTGACTTGGTAATTCATGAAATTGTTATTGTCCCAGAATTCCTGCCCAGCCACACTATAGCGGATGCAGACAAACATGGTCTTTTGTTCCAAGTTTGCTTGGTCAGTGAGCTTGATGCTAAAGGTGAACCGGTCATAGCCGTCATGAGCTTGCTTCCGACGGACATCGTCATTGTATTCCGCAGTAACCTCAGAAACTGTCCTCCAGTAGTCGAAGGTGAAGCGAGCCGCAACGTGCTTGTGAAAAGCCAGATTGGCAGCTGCCACCACCCCAACCAATGTATTCTTGTCCGACGATAGAAATAGTCGTTCGAGTCGCACCCTTTGAAGAGCTCGGGAGGCGATATCCTTGGGAAAGTTTGAAAGTCGAATCTCCCACTCGAAGGAAGGCACCTCAAAGGGAAATTCACCTTCGTTGTTATAGTCCTCCACAGGAGACGTATTGGCACTGACTGCCTGTGGCTTGTCCAACTGCAAGAAGTGACGAATGTGTTCGAGCTGAGAGTCAAAATGCACCGCCTTGGCGTAGGTAGGGGTACCCGGCATGCTAGATGGCCGCCGCCGAGCCGACGGAGGGCGAAGAGCCGGTCTCACAAGTTCGCCAGACTTCTTTCGCACCATATGCTGCTTCCTATGGGGCTCATCATCCCTCTCACTCTCTTCCGGCGAGCTTGTCAAAGCTTCTTCGTTCTTCTGAGAGATAGAACTCTCGGTTACGGACCGAGAGTGCGAGATTTTGCGAGCCTCCTTGGTGAGTGGTGAACGAGAAGACTCCTCCACGTGAGCCGCTGGCGCCGTACTCGATGACGACTTCTCTGCTGGTGCTTCCCTCTCCGGAGAAGACGTCCGTCGCTGCTCAATGCATCTCACGGCCGCCTCGAGTTCCTCCAGCTTCAGTGCATCCCGGTGCTGATGCGTCGACTCTTCATCACTCGAGTTCGGAGCCGACTCCGGTGGAGATATCACCGCCCCTGGAGGGATCATGGCATCGCTTATCGGAGGCGGGGATTGCCGGACACTAGCCAGAGTGTCGACAACATGGTTAGTCTTAGGAGGACGATTGTCAGCAGCTGGGAAGACAAAGGCCTTGCTGCTCGACGGGCTCCTTCTGTGCCTGCGAACATAAGCGGTAGATGAGTAGGAACGTGGGAGGTGCGGACGCCCAGCTTTAGAAGCGACCGATGGTGGCGAGCTGGGACAAGAGTGAGAGATGGGTTGAGAGTGTTCGATGTGCTGCGCGGAAGGCGACGACTTCAACGGCGCAGTGTATGGCATCCGGCCGGACTTGTGTGGCTAGACACAAGATGCAGGCTGATGGTAGAAAGGTCTTAAGGGAACAAGCTGAAGATACAGCGGCAGGAGAGCAACCTTGATCCAAAGACGAAGAGATCAAAGAATGAGGCCCCTGTAAATACAATCTGACCAAGAGTTAGAGACTGTCCAACGGCAGGACAGTGGCAATGGCCTCTATCTGATGTGCAACCTCACACATGCGGGGAAGAACGGATGAGAGGCAAATGAAGGTGTCAAGCGGGTAGGTGGCTGACAAGATGAAATGATCTTGCTCAGTGAAGACAAGAGAGGAACCGGACAGAAAAGTGGGAGAGACGTTTGCAATATCAGTAGAAGGAGCGTTGGAGCACAGTCATGTCAGTGTCCAGGACCAGGGAGGCAACGAAGGTATCACGGCACAAATGCTCAGTAGCACAAAGAGGAATCAGGATAAAATAGGATTCGAGAAACGGGTCACCGCCATTTTAACGTTTCGGAAGATGGCGAAGAAAAAACCATTGGCAAAAAGTGTGTGTAGCATTGACATCGCGCGATCAGGTTGAGAGCTGCATGTACATACCTTGTGGACTCGACATCTAGCGGAGAGGCAAGAGTGGTGAACAAAGGTTCGGCCGGGGGTTGAAGGAAGGCAACTGGAGCGATGGGAGGAACACAGGAACTTTAAAGTTTTACAGGGCCAAGAAAAAGGAACGAGGCGCAAAACGATAACGAACACCACCAATGCTGTGAGAGAAAAGGGCGAGGACAAAAATTAAGGTAGAGAGAAGGGAAGGCGAAGATAGATAGCGTAACGGAGGGGGAGGGAAGTATATGAGAGGCGAAGAAAGAACGAGTGATTGAAGAAAAGAGGGAGCCACAGT